CATTGCTTCTTGACTGGTTTTCGTCGGCTGCTGTAGATTATAAATTTAGTTCTCAAAACACACAGTCACACACATCAGTGGTCCACTACACATGCACCCCAAATTTGGTAGGACGGATTGGCACCACTCGCCATAACTGCATGCATGCTGCAATCAATTCATCCATCAATCTGTTGCACCATGCTACATATGAGCAAGACTAGATAGTGTCCCAGCGTCGGATGTGATTATGGGTGGTTACTGCAAGGACTTTGACGATAGGGTTGCACAATCTATCACCGGGGACCCTGAGGGGTATTTTGCACGTTAAACAAGTGTGACGGTGCAGTTAAGTCCTACGGTTATGGGTCGTGGTGGTAGACAATTGTGGATGGAGACCAGGATCAAATCTTGCTTAACTTTTCTAAAAGGGTCAAAACAATAAATTTGGTCCCAAATGGGCTTTGCCATTTACGTGAAGGGCGCTAGCGTAGCGTGTCACTCCATCCACATATCAGGCGGCCGGAAGGAACACTCCAGATTCGGAATGGAACAAAACTAGCCGGACAAGACATGAATGAAGTCAGAAAGAGACGAGACAGGCTGGCTGTGCAATCCGCCTAACGAACCTTATCGCCCTTGCGTCTGCCCTTCTGGTTTCCGGGACTTATCCACACTTTTGATCACGAAAAAAGTGAAAAGGAAAGGAAAGAACGACTCCTGCACATACTTCTCTTTTTTGGACAGACTCTGAATCTTATTTAAAATAAGCCAAGCTAATAAGTCTGTTACTACAGTAGTACGTACTCCCTCCGTTTCAAAATATTTGTCTTTCTAAAGATTTCAACAGTGACTACATACGGAGCAAAATAAGTGAATCTACACTCTAAAATATGTCTACATACATTCATATGTTGTTTTCATTTGAAATGCCTAGAAAGACAAATATTTGGGAACGGAGGGAGTATATGTTATGAAACATGCAAAGCAGGGCTTACAAATCCGTGACAGCGGCACAGCGCCCCATGGACGATCTCACGACTGCCAAGCTAATACACCAGCACGCGGCTGCTAATCCCGCTGTTATTGCAACCGACTGCCGTTGTGGAGGAGCAGGAGCTGGTGCGGGCGCCGGTGGCCCGAATGCACACGAGCCGGAGGGGGGCGAGCCGTGTGGTGCTGGTGGCGGACGTACGCCGGTGTTGGCCTGGACGACGGGGTGGACGGCGAGAGCGGCGGCGTTTTGGACCTTGGGAACAGGAACGCCCTTATCTTGAGCGGCTGGAGCCGGTCCCTGCTAGCGGCGTCGTACTCCTCCAGCAGGTGGCCGAGGTCGTCGTTGGTCGTGACGGAGACGAGCGCGTCCAGGTCCTCCGTCGGCAGCTGGCACCGCAGGCTCATCGCCTCGCATCCGCACATGTCCATCAGCTTCCGTTGCAGCTCTGGAGTGATCGATCGACAGTTAAACAACTGAACTGGCTCGAGCGCCGGACACGATCAATGGACATTAGGAGGAGTCATTGGTATGGTATAGGCATGTACCGTAAAATTGGAGGGAGCGGTCGACGGAGAGGACGCGGTTGTTGCCGCCGACGTAACGGAGGGCGCCGTCGGGGTGGCGTGGAAGGATCATACCCCCGTAGCTGCACAGGAACTTGACGCTGCCCTCTGCCGCCCCGGGGGAACCCGGTTTCACCACGCAGACCACGTCGTCGTCATCCAAGGAGCCGAGCGACGACGTGCATGAGCAGGACGACGACCACGAGGATGCGCCCGCCATGCCTTCTTTCCGACGGTGGACGACGCTGAAGCTGCAAGATCAGTGTTTGAGAAAGCAAGAAGCTGTGTGTGTGTTTCTGTGTGTTTTGGAGCGGTGGCTCCAGCATCCACCTATACCGTAGCCCCAAGAGGGAAGAATATATGTGCACCCACCCCTGTGGTGTCACCGGTGCATCCAACTTCCGTAGCACATTCTAAAATATTTGAAAATTTCAACAAAAAATATCAAACATCATTTTAAATCAAATTTGAAATATAGCTTAGGGTACAAAAACTCGACACTGAATAATACGTAACATAAGTTGGGCTCTAAATTTGATCCATTATCTCTATTGATAATAAATTTCGCATATAGGTATCTCAAGCTATGTTTCGATTTTTGATTTGAAATTTTCTGACAACATTGGTTCATGTTGTGTCAACAAAGTTAGGATTTGAGAAACAGCAACTACTATTGTTGTTGTTGTTGTTGTTGTTGTTGTTATTTTGCGAAGAAGCAATTGTTGTTATTGATGAGAGGTCCTAACACCCCACAAAAAAATGAGAGGTCCCAATCAGCCAATCCCATACGCGGCTCACATGTGTTGAATAGTTTCTTTCGTGAGCACGCGCCAAATAGTTTTTTTTAGCAAACTCACAAAACTTTTTATTGAACCGTCACACAGTTTACGGTTTTTTTAAGCAAGGCAAAAGACTTGCCATTTTCATTGAATAAGAAGAAGGTTTTAGAGTCGAGGCCAGCGGCCGAGTTACAATCCTCACTCTCGCGGCATTACATTACACAAATATTTTGCCCCGGCACGGCACCACTATGAGGCTTCCTCTTTGATTCGAGCAACAAGCACACCCACTAAAATTGCGTTGTTACGGAACACACGTGCATTTCGCTCTTTCCATATTTCCCAAGAAATCAGTAGCATAATGGAAGTCAGCGCCCTTCGTGGTCGTGAGGTCCCAGAAGCATTGGCGCGCCACCACTCCTTGACCGAAGTCAAACCACCCCAGTTCGCTGGGTGCACATCTTGTAAACCGAGCCAAGATTTAATCATTCCCCACACACGGATGGTGTAGCGGCATTGAAAAAGAAGGTGTGCCGCCGATTCCGGAGTTTGCTTGCAAAGAGGACAAAGATTACAATTTGGCCAACCCCTTCGCTGAAGCCTGACAACCGTCCAAACTCTGTTGTTGATGACCAACCAAGCAAAAAAAATGCATTTGGGAGGAGCCTAGTTCTGCCACACTAATAGAGGCATGTCCGTGTCCACTAGCCCAAGGAATTGTGTATTATAAGCCGACGCCGCTGAATATTGGCCATCATTGGTGAGCTTCCACGTAATTGAATCGGTCTCCTCCAGGTTGAGATTGACCAGCGAGAGCTTTCCCCAAAGGTTGACGAACTCGGATATGTGGCTGACAGTGAGGTCTCACCAATATCCACCTTAGAAACCGAGAAGTTATTGTGCAAGGCCTTCTTCACAGAGCAGTTCTTTCTTGTAGAAAGTTCAAAGATCTTGGGCGCGATATCCTTGGGTCTCATACCATCCAACCAGGAAGAATCCCAAAATGATGCTCGACGACCATCTCCAACAACAACCTTTGTGGCAGAGGCGAAAATATATTTGTCCTTTTGTACACAAGGGTTTCCCAAGTTGGCCAAGGTTTGGCCGGATCTGTCCAAGCAGCCCACAGCCAACGAATTTGAAGGGCCGCTGCAAATTTTTCCAGATTTAGAATGCCCAACCCACCATGCACTTTTGATTTGCACACCTGGTCCCAATTTATCTTGCATTTTCCACCTGTGACCTTGTCACAACCTGCCCAAAGATAGGCACGCCTAAGGGAGTCGATCTTCTTCATAACCTCAGCAGGGAGGTCTAGCGTTGTCAAGTAGTAAATGGCAATTGCCGTGATGACCGACTTGACCAACACAGCCCGTCCCGGCTGCGCAACATGCTTGCCCATCCAAGGCGTAAGTTGAGCAACAATCTTATCTTCGAGAGGCTGAAAATGGATTGTTTTGAGCCTCTTGGTTGACAACGGCAGCCCAAGATATTTCATTGGGAAGGAGGTGCGGTTGGCAGGGAAGGAGCTGAGTATATCATCAAGATCCAAGGAGTCACATCGAATGGGGGCAACAAGACTTTTAGAGAAGTTCGTTGTTAGCCCCGTCACTTCCCCAAATTGTGCAAGCGTATCCGCAAAAAACTTGACCTCGGTTTTGATGGGTGCAAGGAAAACCGCCGCGTCATCCGTGTAGAGGGAGGCTCTGATAGGCATGGCATTGCCACCAAGAGGGTACAGCTTTCCTTGAGCAGTGGCTTTCTTGAGAATGTGATGTATTTGGTCGATGGCCAGCACAAAAAGGAGTGGGGTTAAAGGATCTCCTTGCCTCAGACCCTTCCCAAGCTTGATAGGAGTGCCAGGAACCCCATTGAGAAGAAATCACGATGAAGCCAAGGAGAGGAGAGTTGAGATCCATCCTCAAAAGCGCAGAGGAAAACCAAGGTGCTGAAGAAGGTCAAGAAGATAGTCCCAACGAATAGAGTTGAAGGCTTTCTTGATATCTAGCTTGAAGAGCAATGTCGGGGTTTTCTTGCGGTGAAAATGTCTCGCAAGATTGCGCACATACATGAAATTATCATGGATATATCTCCGTTTGATGAACGCACTCTGGGCCTGGGAGACCAAGTCGTTCATGTGGGGGGCTAACCGGTTGGACATCACTTTTGCAATAATCTTCGCAATAGCATTAATAAGACTAATGGGGAGAAAGTCAGCAATATCCTCGGCACCGTCTTTCTTGGGGATGAGGGCAACATCCGCAGAATTTAGCCAGTGGAAATGGGCGGCATGTAGGTCAGAGAAACGATGAATAGCCGACATGAGATCTCCCTTTATTGTGCTCCAGCATGCTTTAAAAAAAGCACGAGTGAAGCCATCCGGTCCTGGAGCTTTGTCATTTGGCATAGCAAAAACGGCAGCCTTCACCTCCTCTTCCGTGATAGCCTCATCCAACTCCTGGAGGTCACAGTTGGGGGCCGGAATGATTCCCCAATTGATGCCAATGCTGCGCGAAGGGACCTTCTTAGCAATGCTTTCAAAATGATGGTGTATGACCTGCTCCTTCAAATTGTGTTCCATAATCCAACCATTGTTATGCTTGAGACGATGGATAAAATTCTTCCTCCTTCGGTGGTTAACATGAAGGTGAAACTAGCGGGTGTTAGCATCGCCGTCCTTCAAATTGGTGATTCTTGAGTTTTGCCTCTTTCTGGACTTCTCAAGCACAGCCCATGTGATAATCTTCCTCTTGAGCCGTTTCCGAAGATCAATTTCCTGTTGGGATAACTCTCTTTGTTCCTAGGCCATATTGAGATGGAGAATAACCTCAAGGGCCATGTGCAGCTGGACCTTAGATTTAGCGAAGAGTGTTTTGCTCCAGGAACGTAATCGTCGACTAGTAGATTTTAGCTTGTAAAAAAGTCTCTGGTAGGGATCTTGGTGACTCAAATCTTCGTTCCAAGCGTCGTTGACCGTCTTTTAGAAGCTTGGCATCCTGGTCCAATGGTTCTCAAACCTAAAGGACCTGGGTTTCTTGGGGCCATCCGCGCAAGCGAGCAACAATGGACAATGATCTGAGAGCGAGGAGGACACGGCATGAAGTATGTGGTTGGCGAATTCAATGTCCCAATCCTCATTGCAAAAAAAACTGTCAAGTTTGCTAAGTGTCGGATTGTTTCTCTCGTTACTCCAAGTAAACTTCCGGTTCTGGAGGGGGGTCTCCTTGAGCTCGCAGGAGGTAAGAGTGTTGTGGAAGCAAACTAATCTGCTACAATCAACATTAGAGCGGTTTTTATCTCTGGCCCGGTAAATCTGGTTGAAGTCCCCATTAACCAGCCATTTTGTCCCTGGCAACGGTTTCTGGGAGGATAGCTCGAGAAAAAAGGCGCCTTTGTGAATGATTCTAGTTGGCCCATATACAGTGGTAAGCTTGAAGTTATTGCTCTCCGTAGAATTCTTGACAACAACATCTTTGGAAGGAAAATATGATCCAATCTGGACATTGGACATGTTCACCACGTTATCATCCCATAGGAGTAATATGCCTCCTTTTGTTCCATCAGCAGGTTTGTAGGCGAAATTCTTCAATCGATAACCACCAAGGTATGTAGCAATGAAACTGTCAATGACTTGAAGCTTTGTTTCCTGTAGGCAAACAAGATGGCAGGAGGATGTAGCAATTGTTTCATGGACAGTGGCTCTATGGTCTGGCACTACTGGAAACAGGAGATTTGCCATCAGCCAGCTCTTTGTCGTCGGCTGGCTGACGGCAAAGAGGTCGTTTGCCGGCACTCGTTTGGCCGAACATTTTGCCGTCCGCCATCCATGCCTTTGCCGTCAGCCATGGCAGACGGCAAAGAAGCTGATTCCAGTAGTGTGGGCAGTTCAAGCCACACATGTTCCAACACAGCATTGAGATGTTTTGCTCTAACATTGGTTCACCAAGGGTACACCAGCAGAGTTACAAAGGGGCAACATGGATTGAAACAAGCATAGTGATACGTCTCCAACGTATCTATAATTTTTGATTGCTCCATGCTACTTTATCTACTGTTTTGGACTATAATGGGCTTTATTTTCCACTTTTATATTATTTTTGGGACTAACCTATTAACCGGAGGCCCAGCCCAGAATTGTTGTTTTTTGCCTATTTCAGTGTTTCGAAGAAACGGAATATCAAACGGAGTCCAAACAGAATGAAACCTTCGGGAACGTGATTTTCTCACCGAACGTGATCCAGGAGGCTTGGACCCTGCTCCAAGGAACAAAAGAGGCGGTCACGAGGGTGCCCCCCCCTAGGGCACGCCCCCTGCCTCGTGGCCCCCCTGTTGCTCCACCGACGTACTCCTTCCTCCTATATATACCTACGTATCCCCAAACGATCAGAACAGGAGCCAAAAACCTAATTCCACCACCGCAACCTTCTGTATCCACGAGATC